TAACCCAATAAGCCCCTCAGGGGTGGTGGAATCTTTATATTACAAATGAAAGATACAATAGATCTTAACAAAAGCCAAAACCTAGCCATCTGGGGACTGAGTTGGATTGGGGACTTCTTCAATCCCAGGGCCTCTGGTTACGCTGAGCCACCATGAGCAGCAGTCTCTGAGGTCCCAGAGAAGCGGAGAGGAGAGAGGCCATCATTTTGGAACATGAGCCAAAGATCTTAATTGGTCGATCATCAGGAAGGAACTACACTGGCCAGAAACATAAACCCCTCAATAGTGGCCAGGGAGGTGGGCATCAGCTATGAATTCTGTCTCAGACCCACATTCCTGAGCTGTTTTTATTTCTCAGCCAATGCAAAAGAATCCCCTACCGCTGAGAAGAGAGAACAAAGGGACTCAAGTGTGCAGCGGGGAAGAAAAGGCTGCCCACCCTCTGTGACAACACTCCCACCATCCCACCATCCCACTCCCAGTCTTGGGTTCAAAAATCTTTTCTGGTCTCCAGGGATAATGAGGGGCCCAGGGCCTGTCAGGAGAATCAGAAGCTCCCCTGTTCCAGAAGAGATGACGGGACCCACTTCCCCCATACAGGAACTTGGCCACATACCACTTAGAGACACAGCAGAAGTTCCAATTTTCCTGGGGCTCTAAGAAAGTCTGTCTACCCAATGTACAAACTCTTCAGCCTGAAAAGAGCCTCTTTAGACAAAGCTCAAGAACATAAATATTTCTAAAGACAGGTTAATTTCAATAAATGAGCTAAGTGGCTTGGTTACACGAATAAGAGATGTGCACACCTAGTGGTAACCGACGAGTGACACTCAGGGTGGCAGTAGGGAGTGGGGACTGGGGCATATGGGGTCAGCTGCTACTCGCTTTCTGCCGATTATAGCCAGTCAGGAACACTGGCCAGGAGAGCCAGGTTATTTTATATGATGCTGCAGACTTTTTTCATGTTGGCAACTAATTACAAAAATATGTTTAATACTGTTCAGGTCAAATGCAACGCCTAGAAGCTAGATTTGGCCCAGGGGCTGCCAACTTGCAACTATGTCTGAGGCCCAAATTGATCTGTTGCTTGTTCTGTAAAGAAAGCCCACGCAATCACCTCAAAATCTTCTCCCCAGGGCCGGGCGCGGTGGTTCACGCCTGTAATCCTAGCTCTCTGGGAGGCCGAGGCGGGCGGATTGTTTGAGCTCAGGAGTTCGAGACCAGCCTGAGCAAGAGAGACCCCGTCTCTACTAAAAATTCGAAAGAAATTAATCAGACAACTAAAAATATATAGAAAAAATTAACCAGGCTTGGTGGCGCATGCCTGTAGTCCCAGCTACTTGGGAGGCTGAGGCAGAAGGATCCCTTGAGCCCAGGAGTTTGAGGTTGCTGCGAGCTAGGCTGACGCCACGGCACTCACTCTAGCCCGGGCAAAAGAGTGAGACTTTGTCAAAAAAAAAAAAAAAAAAAAAAATCTTCTCCCTAAATTTGAGATGGCCTCTAGAAAAGGAAGAAAATCACGTTCTTTACAGCCACCAAAAAAAGCAGTATGGGGTTGTGGGTGGGCAGACAGATGCCCCCACTGAACAGCCTGTGTAGCCTAGGCCAGTTATTGAACCTTTCTGACCCTCAATTTTATCATCTGTAAAATGGGGATAACATAAGTACCACGGAGGGTTGCTGGAAGGTTTAAATGAGTTTGCACACGGAAAACGCCTACAACAGCACATAGTCATTGAGCTGCGACTAAACCCCTTGCAGGGAACGGGGAGGTCTGGGCTCCTTGCATTTTGTCTAAGCCCCTAGCTCAGGCCTCCTCCATACCATCAAGGGGTCCCGGATGAATCCAGCCTGGGAGGCCCATGAGGTGGGCAAAGGTCAGAGATAGCAGGGATCAAGTTTCATCACTAGAAAGAAATCTGACCAACCAGAAACCAGGAACACTACACATAAACAGATCAGAGGCGCAAAGAGGTTTTTAAAGTAAAAAAGGCTTTCCAAAAGCATGGAACAATATTTCCTCTTCAGATGAATGTGTTTTTAACTCATTTACATTTTGGTGCCCTGATACTATTAATTATTTTATTATTGATGAAAATATCTGTTTTCACATTATAGGATCTTAGAAGAAAAATGTAACTACATGACAGAATTCTAAAGATTCCTTTAGGAAATGTAATTTTATGTGTAATTTTATGTGTAAAATTTTATTTGAGGGGGTTGGGGGAGTCCATTATTTTCATAAAATTCTCAAAAGAGGTCAGAAACCTCCAAAAAAGTCAAGAATCAATGAAACACCCATTATCAAGTAAAGATTTGCTTTCTAGGATTATTTATCACAGAGTTCTTTCACCTGGCAACTTCCTCTAACTTATAAGATTTCAGTTTCACATATCTGGAAGGGACATACCTGCTACATATAAAGTGAGGTACACCTGGATTAATGATTTTGTACACTGGCTCCCTCTACTGGTGGCACCTGTTAGGCTACCTGATGTGGGCCCCAGGTCTCCACCACCATAACCCAATAAGCCCCTCAGGGGTGGTGGAATCTTAATATTTCTATATCCCAAGGAGTGACACAATGTTCCCTAAAAGAACACATCAACTACCAAGTCCTGGGTAGTTTGCAGCCATTGAAGAAGAAATTTAAATTCAATACCCAACCCCAAGCAGGCAGCTGGGTCACTTAAGCATCAGACATTGGAGAAGGAAGCCCAAATGCCTCCGAGGCCTCACACTAAGACCCTCACCAACGCTGAAACAGGAGGCAGTTCTGTGCAGCGGTACACACAGAAATTCTGGAGTCACCCTGGGTCCTGATCCCACCTCCACCATCTACATGATCTGTGAGCTCAGGAATGTCCCTTAACTTCTCTACACCTACTTCCTCATCATTTAAATGCAGGTAATAATGGAGACCGCTGAATCTTAAGTGGCTACGTGATGTCCACATTAGCTGGCCGGGGAGAGGACCACAGGGAAGTGCGATCTGCTCGTGTGAAACAGACGCATGGTCCAGGGAAACCAGCCCAGACCAGCAAGTCTTCCCGACAGAGATGGAGGAGTCTGCTCCAAACTCAACAACAGCACTATTGCCGCACACATCACACCTTCTGCCTGGCAGAGCTCCGGTTTCCAACAAGTCCTAGAAAAAACTTAACCACAAAGCCAATTTCCACCATGAAGTTCCCCTGCAGCTCTTAATGGTGGCCTCTGCGCAGACAGAGACCCCCCAGAGGCCCAGCACAGACACCCAGAACAGGAGCACAGTCTGTACCAAGCCAACCTGTGCCATGCTGCCATCGTCACCTTGAACAGAACCTTCCCAGCCCTCCTCAGCTGCCCAGCCCCAGACGCGACCCCTGCCCACCTTCACGCCCTCCAGGAGTGCCTGGGGGTCCTCGATGCCCTCAGGGACACACTTCTTGTTCTCTGGGAGGGATTCGAGTTTCTCCACCAGAGCTTTCAGGCCCTTCAGTTCAAACTCAGTGAGGTGGGTCCATTTGGCAGCAACCTCTGTGGCGGGAGAGCCAGTGGGAGTCTTGGGGTAGTCTATGGGCATCGCGGTGGACTTCACGCTCTCCTCCGACTCATTAGACAAAGTCCTCTTGAGGAACCGCATGGCAGGTGCTTTGGGCTTCTTCCCGGGGGCCTCCAGGTCCTCAGAGGGGGTGCTGGTGGGCGAGACGGGGCCATCGGCGGGCGGCTTGGGTGCCTTGTCCGCACCCTCCCCTTCCTCCTCCTCCTGCTCCTCCTCTTCCTCCTGGGGCTGCTGCTCACATGACTCCTCCTCCATCTCCAGCCAGGAATCGGATGAGAAGCCGTCTACGCTGGGCTTTCTCGGGGCATCTGAGGGGGGGCGGAGGTCACAAGAAAGACCAAGATGAATGCCCAACTCCCTGCTGGAAGTCTCTGGAACCTCCACTCAGCCTCCCTCCCCTTGACTCCAGAGATCAAGCTTCTCTGACGATCCTACTGATCTATGCCTCCCAGCCCCTAGAAAGATGGCTCAGTCAGACAGAGGTTCAAATCCCAGCTATGCTGTGTGTACCCACACGGGTTGCCTCACCTCTCTAAACACACCTGGTACTTTATTTTTTAATGTCTAAAAATAAGCCAAAAAGAACATATATAATTCCATTTATGTGAAATATCTAGAACAGGGGGAAATCTATAGAGACAGGAAATAGATCAGTTGACAGGGGAGAAAAGACAAAAGAAGCTAAAGGGTTTCTTTCTTTTTTTTTTTTTTGGAGACAGAGTCTCACTCTGTTGCCCAGGCTAGAGTGCCGTGGCGTCAGCCTAGCTCACAGCAACCTCAAACTCCTGGGCTCAAGAGATCCTACTGCCTCAGCCTCCCGAGTAGCTGGGACTACAGGCATGCGCCACCATGCCCAGCTAATTTTTTAGTTGTCCAGTTAATTTCTTTCTATTTTTAGTAGAAAAGATTACAGGCATGAGCCACCACACCTGGCCCTAAAGGGTTTCTTTTTAAGGTGATGGAAATGTCCTAAAATTGACTGCAGTGATGGTTGCACAACCCTGTGAATATTCTAAAAACCACTGTATTGTACACTTTACATGGGTGAACTGTATGGTATATGAAGTATATCCCAGTAGAGCTGTTTATAAACATAAGGCACGCCACATGCAGTGGTTCACGCCTGTAATTCTAGCACTTTGGGGAGGCCAAGGCAGGAGGATCGCTTGAGGCCAGGAGTTCGAGACCAGCCTGGGCAACACAGTGAGACCCTGTCTCTTCAACAAATTAAGAAATTAGCCAGGCGTGGTGGCAGCTGTCTATAGTTCCAACTACTTGGAAGGCTGAGGCAAGAGAATCACTCAAGTCCAGGAGTTTGAGGTTGTAGTGAGCTATGATGACAACACGGCACTCCAGCCTGGGTGACAGGGTTGAAACCCTGAATCAAAAAAAAAAATTTTTAAGGCTGGGCGCGGTGGCTCGCTCCTGTAATCCTAGCTCTCTGGGAGGCCGAGGCGGGCGGATTGTTTGAGTTCAGGAGTTCGAGACCAGCCTGAGCAAGAGCGAGACCCCGTCTCTACTAAAATTAGAAAGAAATTAATCGGCCAACTAAAAATATATAGAAAAAATTAGCCAGGCACGGTGGCGCATGCCTGTAGTCCCAGCTACTTGGGAGGCTGAGGCAGGAGGATCGCTTGAGCCCAGGAGTTTGAGGTTGCTGTGAGCTAGGCTGACGCCACGGCACTCACTCTAGCCCAGGCAAAAGAGTGAGATTCTGTCTCAAAAAAAAAAAAAAATTTTTAAATACATAAATAAATAAAAATATAAGGCAAAGCAAATGTCCTCTGGAGGCTGTGGTGAGGAGTAAGCCGGCACAGCCAAGCACAGTTCCTGGCACACGAGTAGCACTGGATAAAGGGGGTGTCTCCCTCACATCTCCCCTTCTCCTTGGCAGATGGGCTGGAAGAGCCGGTGGGAAAACAGTGGCAAGAAAACGTAACGAAAAACAGTGAGCACTGATTACCCTAGCACTGCCTCGCGGTCTCCTCGTGTGCCTGCGAATGGAATTGGACATGTTCTGCCCTAAATATCCAAGGGCGGAAGAAAGGCTGAGAAAACCAGCCTTTGGTTTCCTGGCCTGGGGACGACTAACACTCAGAAATCCTTTCACTCTTCCCAACCTCTGGTCCCCAGGAGAGCGTGTAGCTACTGCAGTCACAGTGGCTCTCACGTTATTTCAGGATTATTTCCCTTCCTTCCCACCAGGCTGGGAGCTCCAGAGGACCAGGTGGTGGCCTTCCGGTACTTTCCAACCCCTGAGTATGGCATCATCTGACGGGAACGAGACTCACAACATACCCCGAAGACAAAGATCCCTGCAGAAACACCGGTCCCCCCTCATATGCCCAGCCTGGAGCCCCTAAAAGTCACTAAGAATGAAACTTCAGCGAAGGGAGGGAGGAGGCCTCCTGCAGGGGGTTAAAGAGAAGAATCTAAAAATCCTGCAGGAAAAGTCATGCAGACCCTACAGGAGACAGACTCCTCTCATCTTTCTGTCCCAGGATGAAAAACGCTGTGGTTCAGACACAGCAGACTGTACATCCAGGAAAAGCCCTCAGCGACAACAGCTCAGAGATCCAGCCAGGAAGAATCGTGTTCTTTCTCTAGATTGCTGGTCGGGGCTTGCTGTCACAGCCAGATGCATCTTCAGGGCGGGCATTTGTGAGGCGAGATTCAAGGACAGAGCCACGTTGGGGGGACGATGTCCCTTTAAGTCCTGGCAGTAGGGCAGGGCACTGCAGCGGCAGCTACAAATGCTCTCTCCCGGCTCCCTCAAGCCTGCACCACTGGCCCTGGTCACCCCTCCTGCGGGCTCAAAGGCAGCCTGGGTGTTTGGGGACTGGCTGCATCTCTCAGGCCTGCTCCTACATAGACAAAAACCCAACCTTTCGTGCAGGGTGGGAATCAGCTGGCAACCACGGTGGAACGAAAGCACGAGGATTCTTTGCTCTGGGGGGTGATCCTGTTTCAGCAGCCAAGCCCAGGACCAGCCCCTCCCTGCCCCTGTAAAGTCACAGGCTGGAGGCCACAAACATGGCTCTTTGGGGGTCACGAGTTCATTTTCTTGAACTCTACATTCAAAGTGGGAAGCTGACGAGAATGGCTTCCCTGCTAAGGGGTCTCTAGGATGCTGCCCAGTACTCTGGGCTCGAAAAGAATCCCCTGAACCCAGGGAGTCTCTCCAGGGCCCGCTGAAAACACAGTTTCTGCCCCAGCTGCGCAGCTGGGGCTGTGGGCTCCCCGCGGCTCACTCACCAACAAGCATGGATTCTCTCTGGTACTCCTGAGTGAGGTAGGAGCGCTGGGTCACACAGTACACATATCTCTCCAAGACATACCAGCACATCTCATAGTAGAAAGGGTAACGGAATTTGGGCTGCACCTGAAAGCAAAGACCCAGGCAGGCGGAGGTCAGTTTTTGGAGGGCAAAGGGGAAAGGAGGGAGAGAAGTGGGGGAGGCTCCCTGGGGGTGGGGGTCATTGTCATCATCTTAGCAAGAGCACAAATGGTGGGAGGGAAAATGGGCGGGTTGCTGGGAGGGGGAAGATGCCAGCAGCATGCACAAATGAGGCAGAGGACGTGGCCCATGTGAGAGCGTAATCTCAAAGGTCCCTGAGCTGCATGCCCTGAAGTTGAATGGGGGCCACCTGGTGCTTCTGTGAGATGCAGAGAAACATAGTTCTCCCCTGACCTGCGAGCAGACGGTGTGCGTACCTGCAGATGGGAGCCACTGCCTGATTCAAACTACAACAGACACGGGCTCATCGTTCTTGAAAATTCTCGCACAGACTCTTCTGTCCCTTCTGCCCCCTTGAAAAACAGAAATCAACCCCCAAACCTTACCCATTTGCAGACAGGCTAAGGAGCATCCTCCTGCACACTGGGAGGGAGGCCGGGCCAGGCCAACCAATGAGGATATGGGGGTGTGGCCTCTCCCTGTGGGCGGGGCCTCAGAGCTCCACCTCCTGCTCCAACCCCACACCACCTGGCACTGCCCAGCCTGTACAGCCACAAAGGGCTCCCTCCGACACAAGTCCCAGGTATGATCTGAGACCGTCCTCACACTGGGGGAGACACAATCGGGTCTGGAGCTGGAGGCCACATGGAGATCCCCCATGGGAGGTTTCTTACAGGAGAGAAAGAAAAGGTGGAGACAGCTCTGTGTATCAGAACCCTAAAGAGGTCTGGGCCCCAGGGGGATTCCGATGGGTGGCAGTTTGGGGTCTAGAGATGGGATGGCAGCGAAAGATGAGAAGGAAGCAACACCACTGATGGACCTGGCAGGATGAACCTTCCGGAAACTGTATCCTGTGCAGTCAAGGGAGGAACAAGGATGGCAGGAGGGTGCTCCCTGACTCCCACCACTGGGCCCCTCTCCTCCAGAGGCTACACAATGGGTCTTCCACATCCACGCTCAAACCTGGCCTGCTCTCCTGCCCTCTCACCAAGGGTGTCTCCGCGAGGGCCAGAGACCCCTCTTCCCTTCCCTGATCCTCCAGGAGCTCATGGAGTTGGATGTTAAGCAAGCACACTCTCCCACCCAGCTGCCCTGGTCTCTCTGCTGACAATAAACAAATGACATTCTGCATCTGGGACAAACACAAATACAAGCAGATCTAGGTTCTCCATTGGCCCTAAAATACTATTTTCCTGCCTTCTCGAAATGCCCACCTGGAAAAGGGCCCAACTTGGCCATCTCTGAGAGACCTAGGTCTCACTCAGCTCCCGCCCACTCCTGCTAACTCAGTTTTCAGTTTCGAGGCCCTTTTTCCAATCTGAGGGCCTCATTCCTCCCATCTGCACATTGGGTCCATTTGATCTCCCTGCCGCTGGCGAGTGGTGTGCTCTGCAACGAGATCATGGTCGTCACATGCTTTCAAGCTCCTTGGGGGATGCATGGAGTTGGGATCATAATCTAGCGGTTTCCTTGGCTCCAGCTACTTTCCTGAGAACCCCAGTTTTATTGCTGGGATAGTATTGATCTTTTTTCATAGTTAATGGATCAATGCCCTCTGGAATTTAAAAAAGAGGGACTCCAGCATGAAGCAGACCTTGATTTCCTGTGAAGAAGGGTTTTGGGGGGGGTCTCAGCCCCACCCCTAACAAGGGCCGAATGATTTTGAAACAAATTGCAGGCTGAGGACAGACAGACGCTCGCTCTCATCTCCTGACATTAGTCTTGATTGGTAAAACTCTGAAGTTGGTTTGGCTTTTCAAATTTTCGGACACCATCCAAGCCACCCTGCCGTTGATGGACACAACGACCATCAGTTAATCTTTCTAGATTAGAAAAAAAAAAAATGAGGGGGCTATATTTCAGGAGGGGAAAATAAGTTTCCCTTCTTTGTTGCTGAACCCAAGGGAAACCAGCTGGGTGAAAACAAATGCTGATGAAGGAATTCAAAATTTTTAAATTTTTTTTTTTATTTTTTTTTCCAAGAGAGGACTGCAGGAAACAAAATTTGCAAAGAATTGACTTACAAACAGGTTGTCGCCTTCCACCCTTCGCCTTCAAAAGGTTTCAGCCACATGCCTGGGAACATTAAACACACGATTGCTCAACATTATTTGTTGACAAATTCGGAGCCTCACCAAATCGAGTTGTTAACCAATGTCAATCCAAAACAAAGGGCAAGGCAGTCAGAAAGCATGCAATGCTCCCAGCCTGGAGGGACATCAGTCTGTCAGGATCTCAAGGGTTCACTTTGAGTTCCAAAGGCCCGTTGGTTCGTGTGGCACCTGGCCTGAGCCCTGCCTCGGAGGCCCAAGTCATCTCAGAGCTGAGTGACCGCAGGAGATGAGAAGAGAGGGTTTCTCAGTGCATCTACAACTCCCAGGTCTCAAGGACTTGGAAAAAGTAAAATAGGAGGGTGGGTGGAAGTGTCCTAAAATTTGTTTTTCTCCTGGAAAAAAAAAAAAAAGTCAATGGGAAAAAAAAAAAATCCAATGGTAGGGGGAAGGGGAGAGGTAGGGTAAATTATTTGCAATTTCCAAATAGATTCACTGGCCAGGAGGGAATGGGGTGTGCTGGCATTACCTTTTCTGGGAAGGCTGCTTTCACTAGAGCCATTAGGGGGGAAAAAAGACAAATATGAGAGAGATGGCAGTTTAATGAGTGATCATTTGGACCATCCCTACCACTTATCAACCTAACCGAGGTTAAAACTATGTAGTGATTGTTGAGACATTATCTTAAAATAGCAAACAGGCGACATATCCACTTGGGTGTAGTTCTCCCATCACTCTTCATGGCTTCAGAATGGGGGGAGGGAGATTTCATCTGCAAGGGCGGAAATGGAAATCCACCAGTCCCCAACTCTTGCGTGTGTTTGGGCTGCCTGATGGGCGGGGACACTGCGTGATGAGGTCACCTATCATCCGGCCCAGAAAAATGACGATGGTGACAGTAAGACATAGCTTCCTAAACCCAGGAGGACCCGGGGGTTCCCTACTCTGGATGGGGGTCCCCCATGGTGGGCCGCAAAGGCAAATTCTTTCTCCAAGACAAACCCACACCATAGAGCTTGGAGACCGACAGTTTCCTCTGTCCCACCCCCTGCATTCGGTTTCTAAGCAAAGCCATGTTTTAGGACTCTTAAAAAACTATTAAATATTTTTAAATGGCCATAACCTTCTTAGGCGAGCTCTGGGGGATGTAAGGAATTAAGCTGTAGCGAGCTGACAAGGAGCGTTGGCATTTCATCTGGCTTCTAGTGCTCTCTCCCTAGCGCCTTTTGTCTGCCTTGGCTCCCAAGACATAAACAATTGGGCCTTGTGGCCAAGCCCCTCTCCAAAGACCAGAAATCGAAGCAGATTAAACAGACTGCCGCTGGTTCCAGCCCACCAGCCCCCAGCTGCCAGCCTGCTTCGGTGAAGCCAGATGGGGTGCCCGCTCAGAGGACAGGGACAGCGGGCCTTGGGGGAAGGGACCCTGCTGTTCTCCACCTGGACGTGATATCCCACACGAGCTCAACAGGTCACTCGGGGGTCCACTCCGTTCGTTCGTTACCCTGCCTCCCGCCTCTTGGCGTGGGTGGGGGAGGGGAGCTGGGCTCCTAAGAGAACAAGAGGACTCAAATCCACTGATTTGTACAATTGGATTCCGGGGCGGGGGACGGCTGCCCAGCAAGTTGACAAAGCCTTTAGAAATGCCAGCTTGACTCTGGCTTTCAGGAATAGCCTGTGAAAGTCCCGGGGCCGGCTTCTCCCTCTAGATTGCTCCTTTTCCATCCCACACCTGCTCGCGTGCTCACGCACAAACTGGCCCATTCTTTAGGACCTCGCAACACTGGCTTCCTCAGGTGCTCTCCCCAGTCAGATCCAGAGTCCCCGGAAGACACATGGCCGAGACCTGACCTCAGACCAGGCCAGACCCTCTTTCCAAGGAACAGTTGGCCAGAGCCCCAGACAGCACTTGACCCAGACTGTGAGATGACCGCTTGTGCCCAAACGGTGCCTTTCTCCTGAATGTCACGGGACAGCATCCCTCAGACCAGGCCCGGGGCTGGCCTTCCCTGGCGGGACAGGGACGGTAGGCAACAGAGAAGTAAAGGAAGAAAGTCCACGAAACAAGGGCCTCGCACAGGGCCCAGCCCAAACCCAGGTCTCTGCAGATCCGGGCATCCCAGGCAGCAAACGTGCCAACCTGCAGATGTGCACACCCCCAAGGCACCAGGCCCCTGACTACCGCTCCAAGTTCTCCAGGAACCCCCAAACGAGGTCCCTCAACACCAGGACTGTGAAGAGGTTCAGATACACACATAGTCGCTAAGACTTTCACTCACGTATACGATCCCACGCAAACCAAGGCCTGAAAACAAGATCAGGAAGGACAGGGGCTCTGGGCAGAGCAGTTGCCTATGCAAGACGTTTCCTTGGGGTCCGGGCACAGCAAGACCTCACTGGGGCAAAATGCCATCTCTGAGGCAAAGTCCAAGAAGAAATGACATGGTCTGTCCATACGACGGAATATTACTCAGCCATAAAAAGGAACGCGGTACTGACACGTGCAACATGGATGGATCTCGAAAACATGCTGAGTGAAAGAAGCTGGTCACAAAAGGCCACATGTCATATGACTGTATTTTAGAACGTATGTCTAGAACAGGCAAATCCGTACACAGAAAGTAGATTGGGGGTTCCCAGGGGAGGAGGGGACAGGGAAATAGGGAGTGACTGCTCATGGGTACGGGGTTTCCTTTTAGGTTGATGAAAATGTTCTGGAATTAGTGGTGATGGCTGCACGACCTTGAAAATACTCTAAGAACCACTGACTTGTGCACTTTAAATGGTGAATTTTATGGTATGTGAATTATATCTTAGTTTTAAAAAAAGAAAGCAAATATTTGAATAGCTATGTAAAAAAATAAAGAGGAAAAAGAAGAAGAAATGGGCCCTTTTTGTCCCAGGTCTCCAGTGTCTGACCCCGTTTCGGGCCTGGCGACACCTGGTCAAGTCCCCGCATGGGAAAGGAAGGCTAAGCTCCAAGCCGCCGCTGCTTTTCAGGGGAAACTCGCGGAGTGGAGGGCACACGTCAGGTGTCTCAGCCTCAGCCCTCCATCCTTGGATATGGGGTGGGGGACACTTTGTGTCTGAGAAACCGTTACTGTCACTGCCAAGGGCAGAGGAAAGCCTCAGCCCCAGGGAGCCAGGGCCCCCCAGCAGACCCTGAGACCAGCGCAGAGACGGGACCTCGGGCTCACAGACACTGGCTTCCTCAGGCGCTCTCCCCAGTCAGATCCGGGGTCCCGGGAAGACCACATGGCCGAGACCTGATCCCAGACCAGGTCAGACCCTCTTTCCAAGTGCACATCCAACCTCACACGACAGCACCAAGATTGCCCCACCCCCTCACGTCCCTGTCTTCACGTGAGGAGGAGGAGGAGGCGGGGTCCCTGGGCTCCCCCAGGGCTTTCTGGAGAGATACTTCCTCTTCAACAAGGGGGTTTTGGCTGCCACTGGCCAGGAGGTGAACAGAAACTCCAGGGCCCCTGAGTGGGCTAGACGCAGGGAGCGGGAGGGAGGGGGACCTGCGGAGGGCTTCAGAGTGACCTACTCCACGCGCCCGAGCGCTGGGCAGAGAGGAGAGAAGGAAGCCCCTTACCCGTGTTCTGTCCTCGATCTCGTAGATGCGCAGCTGCATGGGCACGTTGAAGCTGTGCAGGATGTTTCCGCCGAACACCAGAGAGTCTACGGGGGTGTAGACCGCATGGATCCAACCTGGCGGGGAGGGCAAAGACAGGATGAGCCGCTGGCCCCCTGGGGCCCCTCTCTCATGGAGCTGTAGCGAGGGGAGCCAGCAGGCAGAAGGGTGCAGAGGGCCAAGAGAGCACCTGGGGCCAGGAGCCACGGTGCTCAGGGACAGCCAAGGCTCCTGGCCAGCCGAGAGGACCCAGCCTGGCAGCCCCGAGCGGCCGCTGGCTAACTCGAGTTGGGGGGTGGGAAGCTGTAGACCAGGCCCCACCTCTAGGGCCTTGGTGACAAAAAGCTTCCTCCTGGGACTGGGCTGCAGCTGCCACCAGAGAGGCAGCCCCTTTTCCCCACCTGCGTGCTGGCCAGGCAGCTGGAGCCCCGTCTCCCAGCCTGCACACCTGGCCTGAGCCTTTTCCTGTCATCCCAGCACACGCCAGTCTCAAGTGGGGTCACAAAGGATGGCTCGGAGCCACAATGGAGTGACACCTTGTCAGAACTGGGGGACCCAGACACTCTCCTCTGCCCGAGTCCACCTTCTGTCTTCAAACTCCTCCCAGGCCCATTTCCAGGTGGTCTCCTGGGACATGTGTCACCTGCACCCCCATGTCACCTCTGCCACCTCCCTGCCCCACAGGCCAGGAGTGGCTGGGACTCTCTCCTGCACACTCTCTCCCACAGCTGGGCCGCAGTTCATCTGCCCAGGCTCCCAGCCCAGAGCGAGGCATAGTCGTCATGACAAGGATCATGAGGTGCCCACCTTGTGGGGAGGGGCGTCCTCTGGGCTTTCCAGGCCTTAACTCATTAATTCTCTACAAAAGCCCTAAGAAGTACATACTATATTCAACCCCAATTTACAGATGAGGAAACTGAGGCACAGGAAAACGAAGTCACTCATCAGGATTTCAAACCCAGGAAGTCAGCCTCCGCGAAGGCTGGAGAAATTGTTCAACACGTCACTGCCACATCTCGGTCCACGCTGGCCACGCCACAAGTGCTCCGGAGACCCACACATGTCACCCGCCTGTCAGACCGCACAGCACAGAGCTGGGGGACAGGCAGTATTACAGTCGACCCAGATTCGCGGGTGCTGAAACTGAGGGTACACGGAGGAAAGCCACTTGCTGAATGAAGTCACAGCTGGCAGGGGACAGCAGCTCTGTTTTTAGCCTCTACACTGCATCAAAGGCTTAGCACAGGCCTGAGAGTCCCAGGGGACAGGCACGGAAACAGGTAGGGGCGGCAAAAAGAGAAACGCAGGGAGAAGTAAGGAGGCAAAGACAAGGACAGACAGAGGCAGAGAGACTCACGGTGAAAGCCAAGGTGGGGGTGGGGTGACACAGGCAAGGCAACAGGGGCCTAAGACCCTGAGCCTCAACAAGCCCGGCCCCGGGGCCACTGTCCTCTCTTCTCCAGCCCGAGTGCTTAATTCTTTCACTCTGAGTTAAATTACAGAGCCTGACACCCCCTCGAGCCTGAGCAGTTCCAGGCCCTCGCCCCCAATGAGCTGAAACACGCCAGCCCTGAGTCACGGGCAGCCGCCGCTGCTGGGAGCAAAGCTGCCGCTGGGAGCAAAGCTGCCGCCTGGGAAGGTGGTACGCAGAGGCTGCGAGGCCACTGCTGGCGCCTGTGCCGGACACTCAGCCGCAGGCCCTCCCTGCCGGCGACAGTGCGTGGGACAGAGCTGGCCGTCCGCAGGGGAGAGCAAGGGAAAGCTCGTCACCAAGAGCCCAACGCCGCCCAGCTCAGGAATGAAGCCTTTGCTTTATGGAACCTCGCTCTGTGCTTAGCTCCCTGGGCCTCTGGTGTGTCTCCGCGGCGGCTACCCTGTCGGCCAGGTGTGCCGTGGTTGCCAGTGACCGTCGAGCCCCCAGGCCCCTTCCCCAGCACCTTCATCCTCTCTTTACAGAAGACTGGGACCTGGGACCACTGGGTTCAAGGGCCTGGCTCTAAGACTGTCCCTTCTCCTGGGGACAGGATGCACTGAGGGAGACCACTCCCTCCTTGGTTGGGAACCTGGTGAGCCAGCGCTCCATCAATACACGCAACTGCCGTTGATATGTGCGGTTGTCTCCACCCACCGTGAGGGCTCTGGGAAAGGACGGTGCCCACATACACGCGGACCTACCAGCCCTGAACGCTCCCTGCTCTCCCGGCAGGTGGAAAGGCAGACACACCTGACTTACATCTGTTACCCTGATGTGGGAGCAAAGAGAAACAGAAAAGAGTTGCCACTGCAAGGGGGAGGGGGCAGGGAATCTGTATGCCCAGACATTCGAGGGATCTAGAAGCTTCTTCCTGAGCCAGGGCCTCACAGGCAGGTCAGGCAGGCTCCCCCCACCGCCCCCAGTTTAAAATCACTGTCCAGCCCCTCCCCAGCCCTGCTCACATCTGCTTCATCACTGACATGCGACCCTCAGGAAGAACCGGGAGTGGCAATAACAGTGTTCACAGCCCTGTCCGTATCCCGATGGCATCTCACTCGCGACAGCCCAGGGAGCTTGAGAGGTGTCTCGGGCTGGAGACTGGGTTGGGGAGGCTGGTATCTGCCTCCTGCTTCCAGGCCAGAGTCGTTGACAGTATGAAGGCAATAAACTGGCTATTCAGGCCAAGTGACAAGGGACAGATCCAATCATGGAGGGAAAGCCAGCGACCCACAAAACCTACTGACAGGGTATCCCCACAACCCACCTTTACGGCTGCTACAAGAATAAACCCAAAGGTCACAGAACTCGGGGGCACCTCACAGACACCCATGACCCAGCCGGGCCGTGGCTTCCTTCATGAGCTTCAGTGACCTCCCTGTGCTGGACGGGGACCAGGACCAGGACCAGGCACCATGGCTGCCAAGACGAAGCAAGACGGCTTCTCCTCTCAACCTCACAGATGGGTGCAGGGCCAGTTACTCCATTACAGTTAGAAAAACAGGGACGTTTCATATGACCGTCTGAATTGCTTCCTTCCCAAATGGGGGGACTAGCACTCCAGGCCCCACTCCCACCTGGCCCCACCTGGTTTCTGGCGGCCTCACCACCTTCTGATCATGTCCAGCCTGCTTCACTGCTGCCCCCTCCCTGCTCTAGACCCATTTTATGGATGCAACATCTGAGGCCCAACCACATTACTCCGCTAAGGAGCTGTTTCTCAGACTTGCTGGAGTCTGAGAAATACCCAGGGCTACCATGAAGTGTGGGTCTTGGGTGGTTCTTACTACAATGCAGCCCAAGTCGCAGATCTCCATGGTCCCCCCCAGGGACTCCCACCCCTGGGAGTATATTTGGCCATTGAAAATGCCTGGCGTGGTGGCACGCACCTGTAGTCCCAGCTAATGGGGAGACTGAGGCAGGAGGATCACTTGAGCCCAGGAGTTCAAGGCTGCAGTGAGCTATGATGACATCACTGCACTCCAGCCCGGGCGACAGAGTGAAACCCCGTCTCTCAAAAAAACTAAACTGAAAGAAAATAAAATATTCCTAACCCATCAGCATCACGTGAGCTTTCAGGGCGGAAGACCCTTCAAGTGACAGCGTAGGAGGAGACATGCCTAAGGTCACAGTGTGGGGATGAAAACCCAGAGCAGAGGTGGGAAATGCCAGAATTAGATTCTCCGCTTCAATATAGAAAAATGCCCATCCAGGGAGCTGCAAACCCTCCCTGGATTCCCTAAGGCTCTCTCCCCAAAAGCCACAAACCAACCACCACAATCTCAGCTGTCTGTCTGTCTGTCTGTCAGAGGCAGAGAGGGCGGGGACGCTGCAGAGAATCCCCAGGCCCTGGGGGGGACCCAAAATACAAATCTAGGTCTGTGGACTCCAAGACTCTTACTCTGTTCGTTTTCAACAGTTGGCAGAATTTGGGAAAAATAACGATGGTGCAGATTTTCATAAACTCAAAATTATTAAATTTAAAGTACTCTCCTTTATTCTGAAATTTTGTACTTGCCACTTTTTTAGTGTAAGAATAGTCTTTCTTTCATAATAGATGATGTTTGTTGGCGTTTTTCTTTAATGAACGCTCATCTTTAGCAAAATTACAAGTCGGTAACTCTGCAGCAGTTCCCAACTTTTTTTTTTTTTTTTTTTGAGACAGAGTCTCACTGTGTTGCCCGGGCTAGAGTGAGTGCCGTGGTGTCATCCTAGCTCACAGCAACCTCAAACTCCTGGGCTCAATCGATCCTCCTGCCTCAGCCTCCCGAGTAGCTGGGACTACAGGCATGTGCCACCATGCCCGGCTAATTTTTTCTATATATTTTTAGTTGTCCAATTAATTTCTTTCTAATTTTAGTAGAGACGAGGTCTCGCTCTTGCTCAGCCTGGTTTCGAACTCCTGAGCTCAAACAATCCGCCAGCCTCGGCTTCCCAGAGAGCTAGGATTACAGGCGTGAGCCACCGCGCCCGGCCCCAACTTTTTTTAATTTCATTGATCCGTGATGAAATCAATGTCTGGGAACCTCTGAACTACTCTGCGCCCTTCATCGTCCCCCACCGCCCCACCCCCGCACAGGAGATGACAAACTTCAACTATCCCTTTTCCACTTTCCAGAAATCCAGGAAAAAATCCGAATATCTTACTCATGACCGTTGGGGCCAGAGAAGTCTTTGCCAGGGTCTAACTCGACTCCTGCTTGCTGCAGTTCAAATCCGCATCTCTTCTTCCCGCCTTCAGCAGACAGTCACGTGTCTGCTGTGGCCTTAGATGCTCCTTCTCGAGACCTTCCCCAACTTGCTTAAGTCACTTAAGTCACCAAAATCAACACCCCTCCCACCCCAGATTGGGGCAAAGTGATGAGCCCCCGCCCAGGTCTGCATGAGAAAGGGACCCCAGGCCTGTCCCCCCAGCACTGAGGAGGCCGGGCACTCAGGAGAAGGGGTTGGGACAGGTCCCGAGGGTCTGGGAGTTCAGGTCCACCCCACCCCAAGCAGCGACGGGACAGCCGAGGTGCGGAGAGAAGAGACCAAGGTCACAGTCAGCAGCAAGGCCGAGAGCACCGCGGCGTCCCACCGACTCCGCCAGGGCCCATCCGCCAGCACCTGCAGAGTGGCCTGTGCACACTCGAGGACACCGCCTCCTTCCGTCCACGCCTCCATTCCACATCTGCAGGCTGTCGCCCCAAATACTGACCACCACGTACAGCCCCTTCTGTCCAAAGCAGGGCTCCTCCCCTTCCCTGAGCCAAGCAGGTCTGAGGACAGACCTAGGGCCATGGTAACAAAGTCACCCCCACTAAACCCTGTACCTCCAAATCCAAAATTTCCCTAAGAGAGAAGTCTCCACCGTCTGCCCAACTTTCTAGAAGAGCCCAGGAGTGCAGGCTCCATCCCCACAGCGGGAACCGCTACCACAACCGCAACAGCCCCTTCAGCTGACGCCACACACTAGTACTTGGTGTCTAGACCCAAGGCCAGCTTCTGGTCCAACTCCCAGAAACCTCAGTGTGATCAGCTTCTCCATCTAATGGATCTTAGTGGCCTCAAAAGATACTCTTAGCCTCTGGTCCAAGCTTCTACCCAGTGGTAGATTCTCTGCAAACTCCCTGACACACCCATATCTAGCTTCTACTTGTATAATTCCAGTGATGGGGAGCTCACTACCTAACAGAGCAAGTTATTCCAAGACCACTTGCTATACCTCTTCTTCCAGGAGACAGTTCTCCCCTTGCTGGCTGTAGTTGCCACGCATCTTTACTTCCTGGGTAAAACAACCCAGTTTCTCCTGCAAAGTCATCTCACCCAAGTGCTTGCCAGACTCCTCTGTCTTCAGGTCGACTTACCCTCCAAAGCATGATGACCAAGAGGAACAAAACCTTCTACGTGTGGCCCAATCCCCTAATTCTATTCAATGGGACTGTCACCTCCCTCATCCTGGGTAAAATACTTCCATTAATGCAGCCTAAGACTAAACTGCCTGACTCCCAGGTCATAAGCCACGTCCACTACTGACTCAGTCTATAAACAGGCCAAAGCCCTTGGCGCTTCTCCACACAACGACAGGCAAGCCAGTGTTAGCTCACTCGGTCCTCACGGCCACTTTGGGGAGTCTTAACCCCATTTCACAGATGGGAACACTGAGGCACAGACAGGTGAAGTCACAGCTTGTAAGTGGCAGAGCCTGAATTCCAGGGGAAGCCCTGCATTGCCCTTCCCCAGAGCCTGCCTCAGGGCAAACCTGCCTCCCTCACCCAAGGACCACTGTTATCACCTCACACAGAAATCTCACAGGAAGTCCTGTGGAGGCAGCAAGCCTCCCCTGCAGGTGGGCCCCAGGCTTCCTCCAGAAGGAGAGAGAATTCCAGCCCATAGGCAGGGAGATGCGGTCCAACGACACGAGGGGAAACTGGGCTGCTTTTCCCTGCAGCCTGAGGCCTGCCCCACTCAGGGGCTGCCAACGGCCATTCAAACCAGCAGGCCCCGAGAAACCCTCCCTCAAGAAACCCTCCCGCAGCCCGAAACCCTGGCTGAGGCCACAGAAGACCGGGAGCCCAGCACCAGCCCCGCTGGAACCTACCGGAAGGGATGAAAAATGTGTAGCCCTGTTTCAGCTCAATTCTTTGGCATCGTTCCACACGGTCTCCCAGAAAGATGTCACTCTGTTTGCCTGACAGCACCCACTCCTCATAGAGCGCCAAATTGTGCAGGGTTGGAGGAATCAGCCAGAAGATCTTGGGAGGAGAAGGAGGCAACAGTCAGCTGAGGGTCGGGCCAAAGTCCTCGATTTCTTCCAGGCCCTGACATAACCCAAGGAGATGGCCCCACCTGCCTGGGGGTGATGGGGGATCTCCCATCCCCGGGACCCCGTGCAGGACGGGGCACAAAGGGTCTCTGAGGAGGTGGGGAGGGCTGTGCCCACCTTTAGGGAATCTCCATTCCAGCTGAAATACCAGGCTGGGAATACTTTCTGGACTGGGTGGAACATTCTTTCTCCCGAGCCACAGGATTGTCTGGGAGGTGGGGGAAGGAGAGCAAGGGAATTTCCTAAGTTGTACGATAAAATGGCCCAATAAATAAACCCAGCTTGTGCTCACTTTGGAGGAGGAGGAAAAACATCTGGAATCAAGTGGGTTGACTTCCTCCCAGAATCTCTTACAACAAACACGCACGCAGACCCCGAGGAGCAGGGCGGCACACGCGTGTTCTCGAGAAGCGCCCGCATCCATGTGAGGACACCTATGTCCCCGCGTGGACGCACACACGAAGAGTAGACACGGCCGGCGCACCCTGAACGCACACCCCACCTCCTCTCTCAGGATGGCGTCTGCTCCCAGTGTCAAATGTTCCTCGAGGCAGGTGGTGCTAGCAGCTAGACTTGGAAGTTTAAAGGTCCCAGGGCTGGATGGGGCTGAGATGACAGCCAGGAAATGTGAATGCTGCAGGTTCTCGGGAGCCAAACCGGGGTTCGAACCTGGTCTAAGGTGCTTAGAACACTGGACTGGGCTAGCTGGAGGGCGTGAATGGGTGACTAGATGTGATGTAAGAGAGCTGACCATGAACTTTCCCTCCAGATGGTTCCAGAGGAAGGAGTGGCCCTGAAGGTACTCACAGGGCAGGGGCTGGCTGGAGGAGGGGGTTGAAGGAACGGGAAAGATGAGTGAGCCCCCCACACACCCCCAACAGCTGCAGATACACAGAAAGTTGAAGCGACTCCACTGGAACTCACCTTCCCACCCCGGAAAACATGGTACCAAACGGAAGTGCCTCCAAAATCGATGTGGAAGTCAGTGAAACAACCTTTCACGCTCATCAGACAGTACCTGCGGCACAGAGGCAGGGGGACAGAAAAAAATAATTCAAGATCTCAGTCACAGGAGGTGAGCACACGGCTTCTACCGTGCCTGACCTGGTGCCCTTTTATAAATGCTGACGCTGGGGGATTTCTTTTTTTCTTTTTTTAAAACCCAAATCTAACTGGAGTTCCCCACGGGGGGAAGCCCCTGGGATCAGGTGACAAATCTCCCACGCTGGCCACCTACCCCAGAGGCTGGCGGCGGCGCTATGGTTTTGTTTTCAGGTTCCCGCAAGAAGTGGCAACCCCCAGGCCACTTCATTCCTTCCTCACGGCTGGTTTCTACCCTTGCTCACCCCTACCCTACCCAAGTAAGAGGCTTCGTTTCTGCTCCTTCCCTATTCAGATACCTGCAGTAGTTCTTCCAAGCTGTCAGCCCCCTTGGTAGCAGCTGGGCCCTCTGGAATTCAGTTGTAAACCACCTGCGTGGCTTGCCAGTGACCAGTCCCCACTCACTTCCTCATTCACTCAACCAGCGGTCCAGCCCTTCGTGAGCTTGGGCATTGAGGGAAACGCATGAGAATGCATAAGACCCCTGTCCCTAAGGATGTGACACTTAAAGCAGCAAGGTACAGGGAAAGTTACGTGGCAAGACAAACTGCAACTGATTGCCAAGTAGGCAATGCAGCTAGAAAGGAACGGGGTATCAGCCCCAAAAGACCACACTGCATATGATTCCGTGTACAGGAAATGTCCCGAAGAGGCAAATCTATAGAGACAGAAAGCAGATCGGTGGTGGCCAGGGGCTGGGGGTGGGGAATGGGGAGTGACTGCTAATGGGTACAGGGTTTTATTCTGGGGTGAGAAAAGAAAAATGTCCTAAAGTTGATCGTGGTTGCACAACTCTGTGAACATACTAAAAACCATCAAATTGTACACTTTTATTTTTTTTTTGAGACAGAGTCTTACTCTGTTGTCCGGGCTAGAGTGCCGTGGTGTCAGCCTAGCTCACAGCAACCTCAAACTCCTGGGCTCAAGCAATCCTTCTGCCTCAGCCTCCCGAGTGGCTGGGACTACAGGCATGTGCCACCATGCCCGGCTAATTTTTTGTATATATGTGTTTAGTTGTCCAGCTAATTTCTTTCTATTTTTTTTAGTAGAGACGGGGTCTCGCTCTTGCTTAGGCTGGTCTCAAACTCCTGAGCTCAAACGATCCTCCCGCCTTCGCCTCCCAGAGTGCCAGGATTACAGGCGTGAGCCACCGTGCCCGTACACTTTTAAATGAGTGAATATGTGAACTGTATCTCAATAGAGCTGTTTTTAAAAAAAGTAAAGAAATCAAGAGAAGGTGGGGGGTGTTGGCCGTGCGGAGAGGGAGGGAAAGAGAGAAGGGAGGCAGAGCCTGGGCCTTAGAGGCTTGGGTGGGGGGAGTGCATTCAGGGGAGGGAACCCATTGCCAGCAGCCCCCTTCTGAGTGCTAGCAAGAGCTGGAAAGCCCACCCTTCCTGCAGGAACAAGCCAGGACCCTCCCTTCTTCCCCAACGGCTGCCCTCCTAGGGGTGGGCAGAGCTTCAGAAGGGGGCACGAAGCGGGCTTTCAAGTCCAGGCCTGGCAGATGATGGGGCCAGGGCCCCCTCCCTACCACTCACCCCTTCCCACAGGAGCCCCAGGGGGCGTGGAGGGGCAGCCTCCCCACCGCTCACACCCATGCACCTTGGCACCTCGGGAGCCCGCACACACATGCTTACCCCACTGACCTCTTTTCCCCGCTGCACTTTGCTTTTCCATGGTTTAGGGAAGAGGGGAGGAATGGGGCGGGGACAGGCAGGGAGGAGCCAGCTGCAAGTGGGGCAGAGATAATGGGGGGTGTGGGGCTGAGCTGATCAGAAGGCGGAGGGCTCTGGGTGCCCCCTCCCTCTGGCTGCCTTTGCACCTCGCCTTCAGGTGGACCCAGGGCTCGGCAGTATGCAGGCAGCGTGCCCCGCGTCCCTCCTCCCGATAGGCTGGAAGGAGCCTTAACCATGTGTCTGCAGGAGGCTGGCAAATCAGAAGGCCTTCCCGCACATCAGAGCCCCGCTGCCTAGCAACCCCATCGGAGGGGTGTAGTTGACAGCACAGGACGCAGGCTGTCACGAAGACAGGCGCGGGCTGCGGAGCTGCCACTGGGGCGCTTAAAGTCCCGACTCTGGGCTCTACATCCTCCACGCCTGGGGCACGCGTGGACCCAGCCAGGTCCCTAGCCTGGTCCCCAGCCTGAAGGCCTGGGTGACCCTCTTCTCTCCAAGGAAGGGGGGTAGGGGTCCTGAAGCCCTAACCCACCCCACCCCCACGGACCACACTGGCCTCTTCTCTCTGAGCACCACTTCAAAATATTAGTCCTCATTTTTCCCAAAACCATCTCTTGGTCTTGGTTTTTTTCTTTTCTTTTTTTAATCTAACCTTCCTTTCCACCCGTTCCAGGCCTCAGATGAACACAGTCTAGGGAAAACAATTTAAGTGTGTGGGGTGAGCCGGCACCCACAGCAGAAAGGACAGGAGCTCGCCTCTTAGGCTCCAGGCCCCAGGGCTGCCTGGCCAGACTGGTCACCTCCAGCCCCCCAGCCCCAACCTCCCCAGCATGTGTGGGAAAATGAGAAGCTCTGCAAGCTGGCTGCTGTGTGCAGGGAAAGTTCTCCAAGTTGAGCCTGTGTCTGGTCTGCCCTCTAGGTCCCCCTCCATCATCCACTGAGGGCCCTTGGGAGCTGGGGGCGCCACCTCTAGACCTGCCTCTCCTGGAGAGGCCCCTCCTCCTGGTGTCCCTCATTTCCTGGCCGCCAGGCCCGGGCGCCCCTCCCACCAGGGGATCGCAAGCATCAGGGCAGCCAGGGTGGCTGTGACAGGACGGCTTTGTCCGGGCTGCAGGGGCCAGCCAGCAGGCCACCCCTGGCTCCCGCCCTGCGCTGACTCCAGGTCTCCCCGCTGGCTCCCGCTCGCTCGCTCGCTCGCTCGCTCTGGCGTGACGCCTTTGCACTGACCTCTACAGCTTCCTCTTCCCAAGCACACCGCAGTCACATGGGCACCCCGGCTCCGTGCCACTGCCGATAAGCTCTCCCCCGCGGCCAGCCGGCTAGCCCGGCTTCCGCCCCGGCCTCGGCTGCCCCCTGCCCAGAAAGCCACAGCCCGGACCAGCCCCCAGCCCAGGTGGCTTCTGTGTAGGAGGGCACCCTCCAAGTTGTCCGCTGAAAATTGCGAGCCCCAGAGCTAAGACCTTGGGGGGTTCCCGCCCCGCAAGGCCCGGGCTGGCTGGGAGGAGCGTGGTAGGAGGGGTCGCTGCACCTGCAGCACCAACTTTGGGGGCTGCCTGGGCGCTGCGGAGGGGACGGCCCCGCCACACCCTTTCCTGTCCAACTTAGCGAAACTCCCCCCACGGCCCAGGCGGCGGCCCCTCGGGCGAAGGGCTGGCGGGGGGAGGAGGGGCCGGGGAGCTGGCACCGTGGCGGGCTGGAGGTGCCAAGCGGCGCGCACTGCGCACTCACACCCAGCCCCGGGAGACACAAAGGGCTGCTCCGCGACGCCGCCGTGCAGCCCGCGGGCGGGAGGCCACCCACACCCCGCCCCGCGCGCCACAAAGGAGCGGGGCGCCGGGGCAGCCCCGGCCCGCGGTTACCCTCGGCGGCTGCGCGGCTCCCGGACGTCCCTTTCGGCGGCGGAGGCTCGACGCGCGCCCGGCCCCGGCGGCGACCCAAGCTGAGCCCCCTCCACGGCGCTGCCAGGCCCCGGCCGAGGACGCTGGGGCCCTCGCTCGCTGCCTGCCTTCCTCGGGGAGCCGGGCGCAGCCTGCGCTCATCCCCGCGCTGAAACTGAACACCGGCGCGGCGCGGCGGCCGCCAGGGAGGCGGAGGGAGGCCGCGGCGGCGACAGGGAAGCGCGCCGGGCCAGCGCCAGGGGACGCCGCCGCCTCCCGCGGCCGCCCCTCGCCCTAGCTGGGTGGGGGCACGAGGGCAGCTCTGCCCACCCCTGCTCTACGGGTCGGCCACTTGGGGACCCCCGCGCCCCCACTTTCTGGGAGCGCGGACACCGCTCTGCAGCTGGGGTGACGACCCAGCAAAGCCACCTTCCTTAAATGTGCCCCTCCAGGCACAGCTACAGAAAGGACCAGTGCTAGGGGATAGGGGTAGTGCCCGATTCTGAGTATGGCAGCCAAGAGAGGGATGCAGGTCTGACCCTAGGGCCAACTAGCTGTGTGACCTTGGGCAACTTACTTCCCCTCTCTGAGCCGTTTCCTCCTCCCTCCTAACAGCGAGGGTGGTGTCCTTAAATTCAACTCTGCATTCTGAGATGTCCTTTTGCAGCCCCTTCCCCTACTTGCCCACTTAGTAGCTGTGTAAACTCTACATCATAGGATTATTGTGGGAAATTGTTGAGATAAATACACATGAACCCAAAACTATAATATGATACCCAGATTATTTAATCCAAACTTCACAACAACCCTAGAAAGTCATTCCCAGCATTGACCCCATTTTTCAGATAAGAAAGCAGAGGCTGAGAGATACAGTTACTCACTCTGGTCACTAGCCTAGTAAGTGGCAGCGCTTACCCAGGCAGCCTTGCTCCCAGTGTCTCGGCCTTTCTCTGCAGGTCTACCTGGCAAATCCCAACTCTAAGAAGCAGTGTCTGGAGGTTACAGCCAAACCTCAACCACTGACTTCCTGCTGAAGGAGGTGATCCAGCTCAAATCAGAAGTTCCACCCTCCAGGTCACCAGGGCCACCAGGGCCACCGCCCTGCCCTCCTCCCACCCAGCCCCCACCCCCTCCCCCCAAACCACAAGGAGGCAGGAGATGGTTGTACGGCCTCTGCAGGGGCAGGATCAAGCTTCTCCATTCTTGGGCCAAACCCCATCCACTGGGGCTACCCATTAATATTAAAAGGTTATAATTATGAAAGGCTAATAATAATAGCTACTTACATGCATGATCTCATGTCACCCTTAAAACAACTTGATCATCCCATTTTAGGGAAATGATTTCAAGGCAGTCAATGCCCT